CCTTCGTGGCAGAAGTCAACGTTGTTCGTTGTTTGTGTAGACTGTATTTTTCTATTGTTGTGATTTAGATGAAGTTCAGAGCACATTTTATGACCAATTCGTGCAAAACTCCACGTAATCCCAAGGGGTTCACATACAACTGTATATCATACACCACATTATCACCAGACAAAAAGAATGTCTGTTGGGACTTGACAAGTCTACACTCATGTTTCGCCATGTTAAGTATGGAAAAGCCCAAGTTGCTTTTGTCCTCAATTGTACAGAATACTCAGACCTTACTCATGGCTTACGCTTTTTTCAGCTTTGGGATCAACCTATTAATATAATAATGATAATTTTGGATGATCTTTTATAGTCAGCAAGTTTTATATACTACATTTTTGATAATCAGCAAGTTTTGTATATGGCATAGTTTTGAAGGAATTAGATTACTTAACTCATGTCACTGATAAGTCTGAAGAAAATTAAGGCTGGTGGCCTAAAGTGGGAAGACTATGGTAAGGTTAAAATGATCCTGCAAAAATATTGATCAGCTGATGATTTTCTCAAAACCACAAATAAAGACCTAGGTAGTCAGTAATGAAAATGACTTACACACTGGGCTCGTTTTAAACTCAAATCTTCGACTGAAGCCACCATAACCTGCTGAGGTGCGAGCACGAATCTGGAAAACGTATGCTGAAGCTGGTTTCAAGCCATCTGCTGTAATTCTTGTCTGCTTGGATTTGATGATGGTATAACTGGTCTCCTGATCCTTTTTTGGTGCAGCAACATACATGAACACACATATATAAAAGAATAAATTTCATAAATAGCAAGTACAACCCTTGGGTCTGAATCTTGCTAATATTTTTGTCTATGATGATATAATTCATCACTTAGGAATTGGGTTTGGGTTTACATCCTTTCCTTTCTTAACTATTAAAGTTGATATAGATTTATATCTGCATCTAAGTTTAAGTTAATAATAATAACCTTGTATTGAATTTTACAACCTAGCTTCATATTCTATTAACCTAATCTAGCATTCATTTTGATTCACATGCAATACATTTTAATAGTAAGAAAAGAGAAACTTATGTGGAAAAAGGAACTTATAGCTTGTTCCATGGCTCTGCAAATAAGGGAACTCAAACTCTCCTGCATAGTTTATGTATCAAAAGGAACACACAAAACTCAGTTTTATGTTTCCTGTTAAACTTATTATTAAAGGGATGTGTGTGCCTTTTCGTATTCACAGCATGAGAACTAGTCATGTAATAGTTTTAATGAAAAATATTACTGTAAAACTACTTTTAATGCAGATATAACATGGAACTTTTAAAAGGTAGAGACCTATCTGATGAAACCAATTTTATTTCCAATTTTATATTATTTATTATAAGAATTTTAATGAGATTTGAATCTAACTTCTTTTAAATGAAGCACTATGATAAAATTTGTCATTAAATTTTAATACATCATCATTATATTTGAGTTTTGTAAAAAGTAATAACTTCAGGATACCAAATATAACACTAAGCATAACAAAGTTTAATAATGTAGTATACTTAAATATTTTAAGTAATTGCATTTATCTTTAAAACATATTATATGTTTAAACAAAAATTTCTTTACAAAATAATAAGTAATTGATCAAATTATTACTTCTAAATGAATTTTCAAATCAAATTTCCTATGGTTATCTCTCAATTTCATCATGATGTTCAGATTTGCATTTTTACATACTTTAAAATCCTATAAAAGCTGCCCATTCTAAGTTTACCGTTGTAATTCCAAGATAAAAAAGAGCCGAGGTGGCACAGTGGTTAAATGCAGCACTGACTTCAGTTTACTTCAGCTGACTGCAGTTCTGCAGTTCGGCTGTTCAAATCTCACTGGCTCAGGGTTGACTCAGCCTTCCATCCTT